AAGGGGCAAAGTTTCCCGGCCCGCGCCGCCGCCACCACCGTCGCGGCCGCCGCCGCCGCCGCCGCCTGAGGCGCCCGCCTCCTGGAGCGCCTGGCCCGGCCGAGCTCGGCGCACGGAGCCCCCCGCCCGGGCCGAGGAGGGGACGGCGCAGGAGGAAGGAAGAGGCAGCGGCGGCCGCGGCGGCAGCAGCAGCAGCAATGAAGGCGTCCGCGGGACTCCCCGCCCCCCGCGCGCCGCGGCACGTGCTCGCCCGGGGACTCCCCCGCCCGGGAGGGCGCGCACGTGCGGCCCCGCCGAGCCCAGCCGGCCCCGCCGCCGCCCTCTCCGCCGGGCTCGGGGCTACGCGAGGGGGGAGTTCCGCGGAGGGGGAGGGAACGGCGCGGGCAGTCCTCGAGCGGGTGTGGGCAGGGCCCGGCCCGGACGCCGCGCCTTTGCACCTGCAGTACTTCCCCTCCCCAGCGGTCGGTCCTCCCGGGACCCGGCCGCCCTCCTCCGGTTGGCCGCCACCGCCCTCCGGCGCTTCTGCAGCCCGGGCGGGCTTGGCGGGCGGCGCGGGGTGGGGCACGCGGACCTCCCAGTCTAGGCCCTCGGCGGAGCTGGCCTCGGTGTCCCCACTTCCTGCCACTCCCTGCGGGCCGAGCGGCCTGGGACGGCCCCGGCGCCCCCGGGAGTCCTGAGCTCCGGGCCCGACTGACCCCCCCTCTCCTGGCAGCCGCTCGCTCGCTCATTCCGAGGCAGGACAATGGGGTACATCGCGCGTTTGCGTACCGAGTCAGCCTGGCCGGCTAGGAGGGGATACCCGCGAGCAGAGGCCGAGGGCCAGCCGGGAGGCACCCTCGCGGGGGTGACGGCCGAGCGCCCTACCCAGGCGGACCCCGGGCCCCTACCATCGCGAGCCTCCCCCGCGCCGCTCTCGGCTCTTTCGCTTCGAAAACAAAGACTAATCCGATACCCCCGCCCTGCCTCCCAGAGGAGGGGAAACGGGCGCGTCGCGGAGGGTAACCGAGGAGGACAGCGTTCAGGAGGGGCTCGGACAGCCACCGAGGGGGCCGTGGCGCAACCGAGCCCTATAACCCAGCGCAGACACTTTGAAAAGTCACCCCGGGCTATTTTCCAGCCAAGGGGCAAGGCGTAAGAATATTTTCCAGTTGCCAAACTGCCGGTTGTCTCTGCTGCTTTTTTTCCCCTCACCTGTTGTTCAGGCCAAGTTGAAATTCCAGGTTAGATTAATTCAGCTCCACCCATCGGGCCTGACTGCCAGGCTGGTCCCCGAAGCTTCCTTCCACCTACCTGGGTTGCTGGGGAGAAGGGTGGGTCTCTCTCACACACACACACACACACACACACACACACACACCCAAACACGGGCAAGTCCTGGCAGAAACAACCACGGGCGGACTGGCCTGACCAGTTTGGGCGGTGTTCAAGGAACCAGGTATCTGGCAGGCGTCGCCACCGGGATGAAGCTAACAACTCAGCCAAAACTGGAAAAAGAGCGTTCGGCCGGTTATTTAAAAGAAGAAGAAGAAAAAGTAATTGATCTCAAGTAGCGCTGTCCAGAAAGCCCTAGGCAGTAGGAGAAGCCCGGGTTCCGTCTGGAACTTCCCTCCCCACAGGCCTGATTTTGACAGCCTGCTCCAGTGGCCAGGTTGTCAGCTGTGGGAGGGCAGTGAACATGGCTGCAATACCTACTTCCTACTCTGGCCTTTGAGAGTAGGAAAGAATTTCTGTTCAGGGAAGTAAGACTAGAACTGAGAAGAGATACCAATAGAGTGCAATTTTCAGTCAAACATGAGAACAGTTTGTGGACTTTGTTTTTTATGTAATGAATGTTTAACGTTTTAAGTATTTTATTTTTAGTAAAAATTATGTATATTAAAGAAAACAGGCAATAGAAAATTAGAAGACAAAAATAACCCCAATACAACATTTAACCTTTTGCTATATTTCCTTCTAGCCTTTTCTATTGTAGATTATTTCCTTTTTAAAAATAATAACATGGCTGTACTCACACTGGTTATGCAGCTTGCTGTCCACTTTTTACTTAACATTATATTGTAAGTATTTCCCTATTTGATAGACAATCTCCAGATAGTGTGACAATGAAGAGGGTGGCTTAGGAGTCAGGGAACTGTGGGTTCCAGGCCTGGCTCTGCCACTTGGTAGCAGAGTGACCTTGGACAAGGTACTCATCATCTCCAAAGGAATCCAAGTAAAGTACTTAACATAGTGCTTAATAAGTAACAATTATTGTTTAATCCACATAAAAACCCTGTGAGGTACATACTATCTTTAAACCCACTTTACAGATAAGGGAATAGATTAAGTAATTTGCCCAAGGTTACTCAGCTAGTGAACTGTAGACTCAGAATTTGAGCCCAGCATCCTTCCTCCTGTTTTCTGCCTTGGTGAGTGGCACCAGCAATTTACTGTGCCAGTTTACTCTTCACCAGCTATCTATGAAAGGGTCATTTTACAAAATCCTCTGGCTTAGGAAACAAGATGGATGCTGGTGCCATTCACCAAGGCAGAGTACAGGAGGAAAGATGCCTGGGGACATCTGCGTGGAACTGAGTGTGGAGCTGAGGAGGTGAGGCTTGGGCTGTGGGCCCCATCAGGGAGCAGCTCGTGAGGCCTCAGGTGTGGAGGACCTCATTAGGAGTGGACATGGAGAGTGAGAAGAAAAGGCAGCCAGGCCAGAGCCCTGGCGAACACCAGCTCATGAGGGACAGCAGCTGACAAGGGGCCAGCAAAGGAAACAGAAGGAGCTGCCAGAGAGGTAGGAGGGAAAACCAGTCCCAGGCCTGAGATGTGCTGTCAGTCTCCCTCTGGAGCCTTGTATTTCAGCAGTCTTGTCACTCATTCCTTCTGCCCAAGGAAACCCCTTCCCACTTCAACCCCTTCCCAGTTACTCCTTCTACCCGCCAAATTCCCATTCATCCTGCGAGTCTCGACTTAAATGCCAGTTCTTCCATGAAACCTCTTCCAGCTTTTCAGACAGATCCCAGAGTCCCACACACTCTCCCTCCCCAGAAGTTTGACGCTGCCTCCCTAGGAAAATCGTATCAGTATCGTAATCATTTGCACATTTCCCTCCCAGTTACTATGAGCCCTTGGAGGGCTGGGACCCTGTCTTTTCACCTTTGTAACTCTAAAGCTAAGCACCCAATCAATATGTGTTCAATGCAGAAACGAAGTCAGTAGAGCCTGATAAATGAAATATCCCAGTAACACCAAGCACCCACAGGTTTCCAAGGTTTATTCCTGCTTGCTTTCCTACCTGCACGAACCCTTCAGGGGCCCTCAAAATAAACTCCAAACTCCTCAGGCCCTGCCTTCCTAGGTCTGCAGCCTCCTGTGCTGCCGGGTTATTCCTACTGGACCAGCGCTCAGGGCAGGAGAACGGCTGGGACCGGCGTGGAGGTGGCGAGCGAGCCTCTCTATCTGAAAGCAGCCTGAAACCAGAGGCAGTGAGTGGTTCACTAAGTGTGGTCCCAGGTCCGCAGCGTCACCAACACCTGGGAACTTGTTAGAAATGCAAGCTCTCGGACCCCACCCTAAACCTACTCAAGCAGAAACTCTGGGGGTGGGGCCCAGCGTTATGTTTTAACAAGCCCTTCAGGCGTTGCACCCTCAAGTTTGAGAAGCGGGCGAGAAGCAAGTTCAGCACCTAGGCGCCGGCCAAGATCACGCCGGCGGCGCTTAGAGGAGGCAGACCCCGGCAGGCTCCTTTCATAAAT